ACTATATATATATATATTCCAATTCAACATTCCCATTTTCTCAAACATTTTTCATATCTTAATGGTGATACATGCAGAATATTAACATTTTTGTCATTTCTCATTGGACTGTACAACAGCACAGCAGCAGTCTTTGCTCCTCACCGGAACTCAGTACCCATCGGGCAGCCTCTCCCCTTCTCTCCATCTTCCTTGCTCTCCACAGACTCTGGGAGCCACTGTCCTAATTGCAATGTGAGATCAACTGTTGTGGGTACCACACGAGTGAGACCGTGTGGAACCTGCTTTTCCGTGGCTGGTTTATTGCACAAAGCATAATGATCTCCAGCTCTATCCATGCTGCTGCACATGACAGAACTGCGTTCTCTTTGCAGAGGAGTGGAATCCTGTTCTGTGTGTGCGCTCTGCTTTCTTTCCCCATGCAGCAGCTGACGGCCATTTGGGCTGACTCCGTTCCTCGTCTCTTGTGACTCTTGCTGCACCATGCATGGGAATGCAGATGTTTTTCAACATTATAATTATATTTCTCTTGGAAATATTTCTCTTGGATAAAAATCATGTAGCAGAATTGCTGGATCATGTGGCAGTTCTATTTTTAATACACTGGAGGATCTCTTTACTGATATTCCATAACGGGAGAACTAACTCACACGCCCATTCGCAGGGTAAGAACTCCCTTCTCTTCGGGTCCTTCCCAGCATCTGCTGTCATTTGGCCTTTTGGCCACATCCAGCCTAGGTGGAGTTGGGTGGCACCTCATGGTTGTTCTGTCCTCGTTTTTTACGTTCACTTTTCTTCATATGATCTTTGCTCATAGGTAAAAGCCATTTCAGCTCTTTGCAAGTTAAGGTAAGGCATACAGAAAACCAAACCAAACCGACAACAGAGTGAAAGCAAAAGAAAAACCTCCCTTAGCCTACACACCGCATTTCACAGCTGAGAAACTGATATCAGTGTCTAACTTGCTGTCTTTCACCCACTGTGATCCTCACAAGGCCAATCCAGGTCCTAAGACCTGTAAAAAATCTGCTTGCCTTCTTCATCCTGGATGCTGTAAGCCTCCTCACAGTGGTACCTTTCTAGCTACCGTGTATTTAATAGCCAAGCTTTTCTGCGTCAAGATTCCCTGGTGATCTTCTCAGGAGCAAGCAGTTCGCGTTCAGCATAGACTCGCTGGAGATGTGTTTCACTAAGTCTTCTCTGAGGGAAGCATTTGTAAGTCACTTGGCATCTCTGCTTGGAATGGCTGACGGGAGCCCGAGGATCTGTGCCAGTGCCCCAGGAATCTGCGATTCTGCACAGCGCAAGGCTCATTCAAGGCTCCCTGTATTCTTTCCAAAGTGATTATGTAGATAAACGAAAGACTGCCATAACTGTGGGAGGTGGGTACCAATAAAATAGATAAAAATATGCAAAACATGACATCTTAAACTCTCCTCACAAAGCATTTTATGATGCTAATCATGGCTGAGCACATGAAGGTAATTCCAATAAATGAATTAAATTTAACACATGAGGTCCAACAAAATTAGAAACAAGTAGGTGAAATTTTTGAGACATATTATTTGCCATAAAACCTAATTGTTTTGTACTATTTATTTTCAACTTCAATTCAAACTTCTAAATCCAAGTTACCCTACAAGAAACCTTGCTTAAATAGTTTGAATTATTCTTTAATGTATACTATTAAGATCCTAGTAATGAAAATGATAATAAATTTTATTAATGTTTTAAAAATAGAACACCTGTCCTTCTAAATTTTAGGTTTACTAGATCTGTTCTCTAATGGATATTAATGGCTCTAAATGCACTTTTGTCAGTGGTGTGCTCAAATACTAAATTGTAACTGACATTGATGGTCAGGTTGATGCCTGACTTGGCTCTTAATTGAGTCCTGCCAGAACAGGGTGTGTATAGAGAGGTCTATGTGTACTAACAAGAATTGAAGACTTCACAGATGATTTTTTCTAGGCAAGAAAGTGGGGAAGAATATCTGAAGATTCCCTTGTGAGCCAATTTCAGCTTCCTCCCAATGCTATCATCAATTGGCACAATTTTTCATACATTTATTTTATACTTGTATGAATTGTGAGTTTACCTTCCAATAAAAATCCTTTCACGCACACAGACACACATACTTGCACACACTGCATTTACAAAGACTTGGGATAAAAAAGCACTGTGATTATAAAGATGAAGAGAGAGAACTTGAGTTACTTGATCAAAAATAATAGGTGAATTAGCACCAGTGCTCAGTGTTGCTTCCTGCATCTCCAGTTTCAGTAGAAGAAAACAGATTTCAGAAATTTTAGTGGATTCTGTGATGAAGCTATTTTAGTGGAATTTTTTAACAGAGATATTTGGAAGCCATTAATATTTATTTCAAAATGTATCCTCTTGAGTTTAAGGCCTATTTGTATAGCTCAGGTAAAAGACACCTTTCAAAAATAAAATAAAATAAACTTAATAAACTCAGTGAAGTTAAATTGAAAATATTGTTAGGCCTGTCTTTCAAACATTATCATATTAAATGAGGGTAAATATTGACAAGATAATTGGCAAGTTTACACAAGAGCTGAAAATGA